CACACACAGAGGTTCCTGCAGTTCCTCTGTAAGAACTGGGTAGCACGTTTCAGACTTTGCTCGATAAATGCCTCTTTTCTTTTAACAGGACTAGCCGCCCAGTACGGTGTATGTTGGATAGAGATGAGGACATGCTGATAAGTGGTGGAAGGCATCCTTTCCTGGGGAGGTACAAGGTATGCACACACACATAAAATAAAGGCATGTCCTCTTGGGGTTGCTATCTGAAGCATCAGAAAGCAGTAAGATACTGTGATAAACTTGTTGCTCTGGTTTCACTGCTGATCTCTCCTGCTGCAGATGAACCTGGTCAGCTGGGTTATAGAGTTTTATCTGTTAGAGTTCTGTAGAAGTTCTGTAGGCTCCAACTGGTCCTTCCTTCTAACCTTACAGTGAACACTTCCTCTTCCTTGAAGCCAAAAATGTGGCCCCCTTGAAAATCGCATTACTCTTAGATTGCCCCCAGTTTGTTTGCAGAGCTGCATTACTAATTGTTCTGTTAACCTGCTTTATTCTCTCATCCTTATCCAGCTGCTTAGAAAACCAAATCTCATTAAGCAAGGAATGGCTGCTGCCAGTGGTCAGCATGGATTTCAGAAGTGTTCTTTGATGCAAGATTGAGGTGCTTACCTAAGCTCTAACAGTGAAGCTTCCTGAGGTTGTCCTGTGTCCTTCCAGTGCTTGTCCTATGCTACCGCAGAGGACAGCCAGTCAGCTTCTTGTTTGTGTGAGGTCCCCTGAGTTTTGGGTGGGAAGGAAAAACTATTTAGAAGAAACATTACTGAAGAGACTCTCTCAACAGGTTGGCTTCATGAAGAATGGGAAGGTCAAGAGCTTGGAGGTGTCATACTACAGCAATGGTGGCAACTCTACAGACCTCTCTCATGGTGTAAGTAGAAGAAATGCTTTGATGGATAACTAGGTGGAAGACATATATTTCCCTGGGAAACCTTTTTCTTGGACTTTGAAGAACTGCTGTCAACAGAAATGCTTGCACATTCTGCTCCTCTGCTCCCAAACTAGACCTTGGTGGTTTGGGGGGCTTCTGCAATTGCTGTCTGAGCCAACTGACCTGCCATGACAAGTGCCACACAATTCTTAGAGATACTGTAATAACTTGGATTGGGCAGAAGGCTCAGAAAAGTTTATTCTGCATTACATATGCAGAGTGCTGTGACAGGAGACTTCTTGCACAATACAAGATGGCTAACACCCAGTACAGTGGGGCAGGTATGGGAAAAGTTAGTTCCTTGTAACAGATGATATTCAGATCAGCTTGCTGATCAGCGCAGGGTGTCTAGATCAACAAGCTGGTTAAGCAGTGCCTAAACTTAACACAGGTTTAATACCAGAGTTGTAAAGTTTCCTCCCATAATCTTTTCTACATCAGGTTATGGACAGAGCCCTGTTACACTTGGACAACTCCTACAACATTCCCAATGTCAGTGGTGTGGGCATCATATGCAAGACCAACCTGGCTTCCAACACAGCCTTCCGGGGCTTTGGAGGGCCTCAAGGAATGATGATTGCCGAAAGCTGGATGAGTGAACTTGCTCGGAAATGTGACCTGCCACCTGAGGAGGTACAAATTCACTGTTGCATTTCAGGGCAGCACTGCACGTGAACAGGTTCTGTCAAGAGGATGCACAATTGCAGCAAATTGTGAAGCATAAGAACTTTTGCTTCATTTTTGCTAAATCCTTAGCAGGAACATAATGTTTCCTTGGAATGTGGGTTATCATCTGCTTCATTAAATTCCCAATTGTGTAACACTAACTTTAATGATAGCTAGATTCAGAAAGTCCAAAAACAGGTACCCTAATCCTACTACCAATGTGCTTAAATACTAATCCTCCTTGAAAAGTCCCAGCTTTAGCATCCTTGTTTCCTTATTTTCCCATGAACAGAGATTTATCTGTTAACTCTGTTGTTCTGTAGAGTGAGAAAATGTGTAAAATTTGGGAACAACTTCCTTTTGATGTTGTTAAAAAAAATGTAGTTTGAAGCATTAGATGTGGCATATCCTTTATATATTGCTTTCGTTGGGAAGGTACGGAAGCTCAATCTTTACAATGAAGGAGATCTAACTCATTTTAACCAAAAGCTGGAGGGATTTACTCTGCGAAGATGCTGGGATGAATGTTTGTCGAGCTCTAGCTATCATGCCAGGAAGAGGCAAATTGAAGAATTCAACAGGTAGGTGTCCTACAGCCACACTGAAACTGAGTGTACCTGGTGCCCACTAACTTCTGAAATTGTAGATGAGGCAGAGGAAATGGGTTTACAGAATCAATCTTTGATAGACTTTTCAGATGGATATCAAGGCAATATGTGTTTTTTGCCTTTTTTTAGTTGACTGGTATTTATATTGGTTAGCTAATAGTCCAGACAATTACTTTTCTAGTATCTAGGGAAGTGCCTTCAATTCAGATTTCTTCTTGATGGGACACATAAACAAAGCCAATGTTACATAAAAAGTTACTGGCAAACTCCATCTTTATTGCCGCCAAGTACTTGATTTCAGCTTTGACACCAAGGGAGTAAGAGAGGAGCATGACAGGGAGTTGTGCTGAAAGCCTGGTGAGTAAAAAGTAACATTTTCTTTTTACAGGCAGAATCGTTGGAAGAAAAGAGGGATGTGCATTATTCCTACCAAATTTGGCATCAGCTTCACTATTCCGTTTCTGAATCAGGTCCGTATGTGTCATTTGTCTTTTCAGCAGATGAGCTAAATTTGTGCTGCTTCCCCAGGCCTTCCTCTCTCTTTACCAAACTGCATATTTTCAGGAAAGGAGTAAGTTAATTAAGAAAAAGCACAAATTTTCAAAACTAAAATGAGAAAAACAGCAGTTACTGGTTTATATGGTCCAGAAGGTACCGCAACACTGCTGTGTTTTATGGTACTTTGTTATGCTACTTTCCCTGTTTGTTGTATCTTCCTCAATATTAGCAGCACTACGACTATGTAATATGGCTGTTTTTGTCCCTAATGCGTGGCCTGTGTTCTTGGACTCAATGAGTTGTCTCTTGCACCTCTCTTGCACAGTGGCAGGTTTTGTTTCTGGTTGGTCTGTCTCCTTTCTGGGCTGAAAATGCTGGCTGAGGTTTGCCGTGTCATTGAAACCTCTCAAGTCAGTGAGGCTAGAGCAAATCCAGCCCAAGTCTGCACTGGTGGCTTTGCTTACACCAAGGAGCAATGTGTTCTTCCATTTTGTAATCCAGTTTTGCTGCTTTAGTCTAGTTCTGAATTCTTTGTCTCTCTCTTTAGTTTGTAACTCAAATCTGCCAAGTATTTCACTAGCTCATTTTGATCACTACTGGATTAATATGCTCTTTTATAGGCTGGAGCTCTGGTCCATGTGTATACAGATGGCTCTGTGTTACTTACACATGGTGGGACTGAGATGGGTCAAGGACTTCACACCAAAATGATCCAGGTAAAAATGTGTTTGAACTCACCTGTAGAAGATATCTTTTCAGGAAACTTGCACTCACTGTATAAAATAGCCTCAGGCAGCTTGAAATCTCCTCTATGTACAGGGTAACAAATCCTGATTAATTCTGTTTACTGGTTCAATGGCCATGCCAAATTTACAGCCTAACATTATAATTGACTGCAAGAATAGTATCATCTGCATCTTAGTTGGGTTTTAACATGGAGTTTAAATCTGTGACGTGAAACTGAAAATATAAATAGTGCAGGTTATGCTTAAAATCTAGCTATGACAATTGCGTTTCATCCACTCAAAATAGAGTATGCATATATTTTATAGTAATGTTTGTCACATTGCAAACATTTAAATTAATTTGTTAACAATTCATTAATTGCATTTGGCTTTTTCATGAAAAGGGCATGAAGAACAGTATTGTTCTAGAATTGAAATGAAAGGAAAATCTAATTAGGGCTCTTTATCCCCTGGTTCCTTTAATTATTGCAATAAGAATCTAGTCTTGGTGAATGTCTGTTATTGTGGAAGAGAAGTGTCCATATATGTGTGTGTGTGTATTCTCAGTTTGTCAAGGGCAAATCTAATTTCCCACCTAGCTCTTGGTCACTAAACTGACTGAATTCCCAAGAAAGATGATATGAAGAGGGTAGTTTGCACTCCAAAACCTAGCAACATAGGCAATGAATGATCATGCTCATTAATAAGAACAACCATTTATTTGTTTTTTACTTTTGCTTTCCAGGTTGCTAGCAGGACACTGGGAATCCCCACCTCCAAGATTTTCATCAGTGAGACAAGCACAAACACAGTCCCAAACACCTCCCCAACGGCTGCCTCTGTCAGCGCAGACATCAACGGAATGGCTGTCCACGTACGGAAACTGAGTACTTTGAACTACTGGGTCATAAGCTGGGACTCCATAACATGAAAAAATGATGTGTATTTATCTATTGCTTCAGAAAGGAATTCCAGGCAATATAGTGTACTGCACTTATTACATGCAGGTGGTTTGGAGACTGACCCCTAAATCAAAGACTTTTAAATCTTGATACACTTAAAGCAAATATCCTTCCGTAGCAATGGCATTGTCATGGGTGTCTCTGACATGGTGGAGTATGAATGCATCTATTTGCATGGCATGTGACCCCTGAACAGAAGAAGTTTTTATTGCCTTTTTAGTGCATGAGCTAAATTTTCAGGTTTGAAGAAAAGAGGATGTCTGGCCTGTAAAGTTACAGCTCCCGAAGTACTTGAGGTCGCTTTTATTCTCTGCACAGTGTGACTGAGTGGGCTGAATTTTGGCTTTTTTTTTTTTTTTTTTTTTGTTAAAATGGGTCCATCTTGCTAGATCTGCTAAGGTCTCCTATGACTTGGTGTAGACAAAGCTAGAGTATAAATGGATGTTTAATACTTTGCGTCATGGTCTGGAAGGCTTTGTACTGTGTTTGGAATTCCCTTCTGCTAACAGCATAGCCAGTGTGTTTTAAAATCCTTCTCAGTCAACAGTTCTACCTGTGTAGCAAGTTACTGAACTTTGTTCCATTTTATGATATGTCAAAGTCCTAAAGGCAGTGTTGGTTTGAACGGAAGACTCTTGGGGACTTATGCTGCTCCTAATACTAGAGCTTGACTTTTGACTTTTGTTGAGTTTTGAAATCTTAGTGTTGATCAAAGTGCTTTTGTTTGTTTGTTTGTTTGTTTGTTTAGAATGCCTGTCTGACTATCCTAAAAAGGCTTGAGCCAATCAAACAGTCTAATCCCAAGGGGTCCTGGGAAGACTGGGTAAGCTGTCTTGATGTGTTGCAGGACAAGCGGGTTTGTCAGAGTTGGTTTCCATTTCCTCCTCCTCCAGGAAAGGCCTGAGGAAAGGCAGTGAAGCAGAAACTCAACAAGGGAAGAAACCAAAGCTTGAAAGGGATGATCCCCAAAATGTCCATTATGAAGTTAATATTGAGATTCCTCCAGACTCTAGGGGCCTGCCTATGGCAAATTAGACCAAATAAAACGCTTGAATGATTACAAAAATCCCTGTAGCCAGACTATAGCCCAACTGGACTGGAAGAAAGCTCATTTGTAATGAAGGAAATCTGTGACAAAAATGACTCTTTGCTGAGCCTGCAACCACTGCATCCTGTGGTGCTTCATGGCAGACGCATTTCTCTGTCCTGAATATTAAGAGATTGGGGCACTGTCAGCCTCCTGGACAGCTTTCAATCCAAGCTCTTCTCTTCCTGGGAGGAGCTTTACCTTTGTGATCTGAAAGTCAAGACATAATTTTCCCCTGGCCATGCTGAAGACAAAGGGCTGGGCATCTTAACCTGTGCCTCTGAGGTGGGAAGGTCCCTGAAAAACAGAAGAGACAAGGTCTCTTCTCATCCCTCTGCCTGTGGGGGAGCCCTGCCCTTAGCAGCTGCTGCAGAGGTTTGCTGGGGAAGCAGCTGCATGCCAATGTTTTTCTTGGTGCTGCTGGCTCTGGGTGTTGTGCCAGGTGTCTGTCACTGCGCACCTTCTGTACGGGCACTCCTGGAAATGTTTGGGACAGCTGTTTTGCTGGACAGTAATTGTTTTTGTTGGATAGTAATTGTTATAAAACTCTGCTTTTTTGCCAGATTAAAGCAGCCTATGTGGACTGCGTGAGCCTGTCAGCCACAGGATTTTATAGGTGAGTCCATGCTGCAGAGGCATGGTTCTTACTCAAATGCATGGTATGTATCCAGGGAGTTTCTGGGGGGATTTATGGCCCCCACCCTCGTCACTGCTCTAACCTAAACCCTGCAGCCCTTTTCCACCCAGAAATGATAAACTGACAGACTTCTGGCAGAGGAGGACGAAACCAGATAGAGCACATCTCTTGGATCAGATTCAGATCTTGTGTAAATCAGAAGTATATCTATCTTCACTGAAGCCAGCCTAGGTTTAGGGAGGCATAAGTGAGATTGGAGCTTTGCGTGGGGGCCTGCCCTGTGTCAGACTCCGCACTGTGATGGTCTTAATGCCTCCCAGGGGCTCCAGGAAAAAGGAGGCAGGAGATGTCCTTGAGGAGAGAGCAATTGACTGAGGCTTCATCGCATCTCTTGTGGCATGAGCAGATCCCAGTGTTTCCAATTTCATTCTCCCACTTTAAACTCTGGCTGGCTCTTGTGCTTTTCTATAATGAGACACTTCTCGCCTTAGCTTTATTCCTTGGGGTGAGCAGAGGTCTGTCATCTCTGAGGCAGAGAGGCTGGCATAAAAAATAAACACAGTGTTGAGACGAGACTGTAGGACTAAAGTACATCTCTGTTTCTGTTGCATCTCTGATATGTGTTACGCTTTTAACCAAGTGGCTATCAGTATTTTAATAAAAGTGTTTTCAAATATAAGGAACCAAACACAAAGTTTACTAACAGCTGTGCTTAAAAGCAGTCTTCAACTTAGTTCAACTTGATTATTCTCCAAAGTTTAATTACCTCTAAGACATGTTCACCTGCACTCTAAAAACAAAGGATTTGCTATTGCATTCCTGGGAATTAATCCATATCAGTTGTCACAAACCTTAAGATTCATGGGAAAATAAAGATGGCTAAAATGCCTCATTTCAGGAGGGTTTTTGGAGTACAGGGAAGCTTTAATAGATTCCTGTTTATAGCTGTTTACACCTTTCATTTCTGCATGAGCTTGATGGAAGACAGAAAACACAAGTACCTAAGGATTTTGATAAGTGTCAATATGATTGCATTTACTTTGACTGTTCATGACATTAAATGTGGGTTTTTTTTTATTTTTCCTCTCTCCTTGTTTAAAGAATTCCTGATCTTGGCTACAGTTTTGAGACAAATGAAGGGAGACCATTCTGCTACTTTAGTTATGGTGTTGCTTGTTCTGAGGTGGAGATAGATTGTCTGACCGGTGACCACAAGGTGAGTGAAAGGCAGTGAAATAGCCTTCTGGGTTGAGATGAAGGAAACATTCACAGGGAGCTAGAACAAATACGGGGCGTCAGCGTGTTCCTTGCTCTGTCATTGGTTCACTGTGACCTTCAGTGAATTTGTTATCTCCTCTGTTCGACAGTGCAACAATCTGTAAAGGATAATAAAATGTTAATTATCTGCCCTGCAGGGATAATAAGGGGAGGCTTAATAAGCACTTGTAAAAGTTATTGGATTTGCTTAAGTAAAAGATAACAGTACTGTGTTAGCACAAAAGAAGAGCCACATTTCAGAATTGAGTTAATCATTAAAAATAGCACTGGGAGACTTCTAGAGAGGAAAGAGAAAAAGGCAATTAATTAGAATCTGACCTAGTTGTATGTGTGTGGCACAGAGCACTGATAAGGGAGAGTTTAGAACTAATACAAAACAAGTCCAATGAGTCTCTGGGGAAAACTGAGCTGACTTCTTTTGTTTCACTTTATGGATGAAACTTGGTTTAAAAGTCAGGAGGAAGAATTGAGTTGCGATAGATTGCAGGAATAAGGGCCAAATGTGGGTACTGCTGAATACATTACTCTTCCTGGTATAAAATTATCATGTCCCAGTCTCAATGCTGTGTGCTGATTTATTCTCTTCTTTTGCCTTTTAGAACATTCGCACAGACATTGTTATGGATGTTGGTACCAGTTTGAACCCAGCCATAGATATAGGACAGGTAAGGAAAAGTATCACTAATTTCACCTTGTTAAAGTAATTACAGTGATTTGAGGGTTTCTAGATGAACCATTCTCCATCTCTAGCATGTATCTTTGCAAATAGCATTTGGCACTTAAATGGATCATCCAGTGAGGCATTTTAGGCTTGCAAGTAAAACCAACTTGACCCCCAGTTAATAATGCAATAGGTGCAGAATTAGGTGACGAAATGAGGAAATGCACTGCTTTTTTTTTTTTTTTTCCTTTGGCTTGAGCACTGTGGAAGACTCCAAGGTATTCTTCAGTTAATACCTCAGTGATTCTTTTAGTGTCTACCTTCACTAAGAAATGCATCTGGAGAATACTAATATAATGGAATAAATGTGCTTCAGGGCCTGGGGGACTGTTTCTACCAAGTGGCATGTGTAGACTAAACTCACACCTGAATTTTATACTGATATACATCCCTATCATATAGCCTATCAGATTTTGACTAGGGAAAAGATATGAGCTAGAGGGAGCCCAATCAACAGATCTTGATTTCCTGTGTCCCTCTATGTATTGCTCCAGAGGATCTGGGGGCAAAAGAAGGAAAGAATGCTATATAAAGGTAAAGAAGATGGGGACAAACTCTTCTCCGTGGTGGCCAGTGACAGGACAAGGGGTCATGGGTACAAGTTGAAACACAGGAAGTTCCACCTCCATGTGAGGAAGAACTTCTTTACTGGCAAGAGTGACAGAGCCTTGGAACAGGCTGCCCAGAGAGGTTGTGGAGTCTCCTCTGGAGATCTTCAAAACCTGGATGCAACCGTGTGCCTCATGTTCTAGGTGTCCCTGCTGAAGCAGGAGGGGTGGACTAGATGATCTCTAGAGGTCCCTTCCAACCTCAGCCCTTCTGTGATTCTGTGACTACTGACTAACAAGTACATATTGCTGGGATAATGAACATGCGTGAATGTTTGTGTTAGATCTTTAGGCTACATGGGTCTGTTAGATCTCTCTGTGAATGCAGACAGCAGAGCTCCTTATAGGATAGTTTGAGCACACCTTTCTCTATCCACTTTTGACATCCATTCTCTCCCCTCCCTGCACACCCCTCCCCCCCCTTTTTTTTTCTCCAAAACTTTCAGGAGAATAAGTTACACAAGAAAGCATTTGGTATTTGAATAGATATGGGAGTGTTTTTGCAGTTTTCTGTGCTGGTGACTTGAGAATATTGCGTGTTCAGGGCAGTATGATGTGGTTTTATATTGAAATAGAAAAAGTAAAATTTGATCAAATGTCATCTTCAATTCTATCTTCTTGTCCTTTGAGTTATCAACAAGTACAGCTCATTCAGTGTTATTTTGCCCACTGAGAAATCAATATTTTGGCATTGATTTTTTTTTTCCTTGCTTCATCAACAAAACTCCTGTCCTGCGTTTACAGCATATCTGTTTGCATGTGTGTGTGAATTGCTCCATCTACCAGGGAAATGCAACAACATTTATGTGGAATGCAAGAATTGTGTAAAGGTGGCAGGCTGTACTCAGCAGAAGGGACAAGCTTAGAAGTGAATGATGGGAATTTAGCCAGGAAGGGAGGGTGGAAGGGTCGAAAGCTCCACTTTAAATCATCACTTTTTGTTTCTGAGTAGGAATGAACAACAAAAAAAAAATTAACCTTGTTTTGTTGTGTTTGTAGATAGAAGGAGCTTTTGTCCAAGGCCTCGGGCTCTTCACCATGGAGGAGTTGCGCTATTCTCCGGAAGGGAACTTGTATACTCGTGGGCCTGGGATGTACAAAATCCCAGCATTTGGAGACATTCCAGCAGAATTCTATGTGTCTCTTCTCCGTGACTGTCCGAACAGCAAGGCAATTTATTCATCCAAGGTATACATGGAAGATCTGCAGGCCTCTTACGGATGCATACTTCTGTTTGCTTTATTTTCAGGGCAGGATGCTTTTGCATTCCTTGCCAGAAACATGATTACTATCCCTTATAGTAAGGAGGTACCAAAGCAGCCTGCACATCACTATGTTGACTCTCCACAATAGACAACTGAAATGGCTTTGCTGTGCCAGAGGCTCTACCTGAACAGAGGCTGCCAGCCTCCCTCTGCCCCTCAGTTTCCTCACTGTCTGTCCCCAAAACTCTGCTTGCCCATCCATGGCATCAGGGCCACCATGTGGCTCAATGTTTCCAGCAGTGTTGCCTCTGATTTGGCTTGTTTTGCTTCCCTAGCTGTTTCCCAGTACTCACTTCACTCCTTGTAGGTTCATAGTTAATCCATGTGTCCTTAGCTGTTTTCCCTGCAATGAGGGCTGTTCCCTGCAGCTAGACAGGGCTGTGCAGAATGGAGTGGGGTATACAGCATTGAGGAGCTTGCTTTACTCATGGTTCAGAGGAGCATTCCCACATCTATATATGCCTGGCCTGCTTCTGCATCTGTTCCCTTTTCCCTTCTTCCACAGAAACATCTTCATCAATGAGGACAACTATTTGATTGATAAATGCTGATTACAGAATTAAGTAAAGAATTAAGTAAACTTAGTTAAGATCCAAAGGGCTATGGGAAAGGGTTAGTCCCCTCCTCCCCTTTTTTTAATTTTTTCCCTTTGTAATAGCCCCAATATGTTAGCTGTGTCACTTCAGACTCGCTCTTCTGTTAGCCCTGTTGGTCTTTCCTTGGCCAGGACTGTTTCGATCCATAACCTCCATCTTGCCTGTGCTCTCTCTAGGCTGTAGGAGAGCCTCCTCTGTTCCTGTCTGCCTCAGTCTTTTATGCCATTAAAGATGCCATCTACTCAGCGAGAAAGGATGCTGGCGTGACTGAACCGTTCAGGCTGGACAGCCCTGCCACCCCGGAGAGGATCCGCAATGCTTGTGTGGACATGTTCACCAAAATGGTAGTTGCTTCCAGTTTCATAGTCTGCTCCCTGGCCAGCCCACCCCACACCAAGTGTGTTGTGATAGTCACTGTGGCTCAAATCTGGGGAAGGCCATTCATGTGTATTGTCTGTTACTTAACACGCCACCAGATGAGAGGCAAATCCACAGACCAGCATTAGAGTTCACGTTATCAGAAGGGCTGCCCATACAGAATCACTGAGGTCACACTTCATTTCTTCATCCCACTAGTACTATCTGTAGAGCAGAAGCAATGACTTGTTGCTCTGATGCTTCTGACTGTCATCTCTTAGGGGATCACAGCTCATAACGCATCTTGCAGGTCCACCATGTGATTTATTGGTCTCATCATGAAGGGAAAGAAGAAAGTGCTAAGGACAGTGCTCACTTCTGCTGAATGCAGACTAGGATCTCCAGGTGTTGCGGCTGTTGCTCATGATATTTTTTTTTTCTCCTTTTCTTTACAGTGTCCATCTGCTGAGCCAGGAACCTTCAAGCCATGGTCTGTTCGTGTGTAAAAGCAAAGTCTGAGGAGCAATCTTTCCTCAGGAAACTGGGCTTACACCAGAGGGACCACAAGGCAGTAGGACTATAATGGAAAAAAAAAATCTGTTTTCATGTGGCTCATCCACTGATTCATAGAGCTTTCTCGTTTAATGGTCCAATCATTGTTTCCCCTAAGAGGGGGGATTGCTGCCAGATCATAGCTGTTAAGTAAATTTAAATGAAGAGTAAGTGAATGATGATGTTATCCAGGTTATTGAAAATCTTACAGATTTCATTTAAAATTGCTGCAAGGATAGGGGACAAACTTATTATCAACCAGCCCAAAAAAGAATATTTTGTTTGGTTTGGTTTTGTGTACTGTGGGGAAAAGAATTGTCACCTTCTGATGTTATGCCAAGAAAGATTTAAATGCATTGAACCCAGATAAACAGTCCTAACAGTCCTCTGGTAGAGACAGGGGGGCATAACACATACTGAGGACTGGACCGCCGCTCTGTATGTGAAGCCAGATACATGCTAGAGGAAGATGAGGAGGAGTTTTGCAGTTAGCTGACTGTGGGTGAAAGTCTGATGTATGTATGTATATAAAGGTGGTTGTTCAGATGAAAACCTTAAAATGTGACCAATAGCTGATTAATCTTAAGTTAAATGAGGACCGCTTCATCTACACCAGGTCTTCAATGTTTTTTTTTAGTTCACATGCTACTTTGCTGTCTCCAATTGAAGACAGTAACTAGAGATACCAAGAGGTTTCCAGCAAGAAATCCAGATGATACATTCGACACATTCAACTTTCCCTTTCCCCACCACATCTTTTGCTCATCTCAGGACACAATATCAAAGAAAGGTCTTTGGAGTAACAGAGTTACATATCACCGTCCTCAAGGCAATTTAGACCAGCCTAGGGCAGCTGGGAATTAGCTGGGTCCAAGCGCCCTCTGTGGTCAATTCCTTTCCTGCTGTCAGGGCTTGGCTTTCCTTTCAAGACAGCTCTTAGTTTTGGTGAATTTAAGGAGCGGATACATTTTGCTAAAGGGACTGCTTCTCTGAAAAATGTCCTTATTGTATGATGACCTCATACCTTCTGGGGTGAATGCAATTTTCCTGTTGGATTTAATGTTGGGCATCCTTCTTCACAGTTCTCTTCACTATCAGATTTAACACTGCAGCATCATGTAATCTCTAGATGTCAGCCATGTACTGTACCTGCTCACCATGTGCAAACTTTCACCTATTTCTCTGGCCCACAGCTCTTTTTCTATGTCCTTTTTCTATTTTTGCACTCCTAGAGCTGTTGGAACCAGGCGCAGGACAA